GAATACAAAAGAAATAGAAATTACCTTCAAAAACATATTATACACTGTCAGAAGACCAAACAGATGTCACAATCCGATCTCAAAAATGCATTAAAGGGACTACAAAAGAAAAAAAAAACTGAATTGTTGTAGGAGCTTATAAGATAATGCTAACAAATTTTTAAGAACAATTAATATTAATACTACACAAATTATTCTCAAAAATTGAGAAAGAAAATGCTCTATCGACTCTTCATATGAGATTAATAATGCCCTAATGCCTAAAAAGAAAAGGATAAAGCACAGAATAACTTTATATCAATATCATTAATGAATATTGATTCAAAAATTTTAATTAATTTTTTTTCTAACAGACTACACCATTTTTTCCCAAGAAATCATTCATTATGACCAAGTTGTATTTATACCAGGGATGCAAGGATGGCTCAATATTAGGGGAAAAAATATGAACCATTTTTAAACTATGTGATTATATAAATAGATGAAGAAAAATCCTTTGATAAAGTATAACACTCACTTATGTCAAAAACCCTATAAAGTATAGGCAAAGAGGGATCTATTTTTAAATATAGATATATCTATCTAAAACCAAAAGTAAGCATCACATGCAATAGGGATACACTACTAGACGCTCTCCTAATAAATACAAGAGTAAAGCAACGATATTTATTATACCCACAATTATTCCACATAGTTCTGGAAAGGACAGCAATGGAAATTAGAGGTATAAAGATAGGGAAAGAGAACATAAACCATCCCTATTTGCTGATGATGTGATGGGATAATTAGAAAATATTAGGGAATCATCAAGGATAATAATTGAGATAATAGCTTCAGCAAAGTTGCAGGCTACACAATAAACCCACAAAAATCAACAGCATTTCTGTATTATAATGACAATATCCAAGAAACAACAATAGAAAAGGAAATCTCTTTCAAAATAACTACAAAATCCATAAAATATTTGGAAGTCATTTTGCCAAAGTACACAAAATACTTGTCCTTAGTTACAAAGAACTCCTCAAAGAAATAGAAACAACTTAAAATACCTGGAGGAATATTTAGCACTTACGGCAGACTATTTCAATACAATAAAAACTATAATGTAACCAAGGTTAATTGTCAGTGTTAAGGCTATATCAAACTATCAACAGAATATGTCATAGAACTGAATAAGATAATAACAAAATTCTTTGGAAAATCAAAATATCTCTAGAATATCAAAGAAACAAAAAGTTAGGGGGAAAAGTTAGAAATTTTTGTCGTTCAATAATTTTTTCAGTCTGATTCTTTGTAATCCCATTTGGAGTTTTCTTGGCAAAGATACTTGAGTAGTTTCCCATTTCTTTCTCCAGCTCATTTTACAGATGAGGAAACTGAGGCCAATAAGGGTAAGTGACTTGCCCAGGGTCACACAGCTAGTAAGTGTCTGAGGCTAGATTTAAGCTCAGGAAGAAGAATCTTCCTGACTCCTGGCCCAGTACTCTATCCACTGTGTTACTTAGGTACCCAGTAAAGTTAGGAATAGCACTTCAAACTATCAAATTACATTATAAAGCAGTGATCATCAAAACCATTTGGTACTAGTTTAAAAATAGAGAAGTAAATTAATAGAACAGACTAGACAAGGGAAAACCACAAATAATGGAACTCAATAACATAGTGTTCTATAAACCCGAAAATATGAATTACTTAGGAAAGAATTCTTTATTTGATGAGAATTGTTGAGAAAACTGGAAAGCAATCTGGCAGCAATTAGACTTAGACCTCTATTTTATACCATATTCCACAATAAATTCAATGAGATATGTGACCTGAATATTAAAAGATCATATTATAAAAAAATTTAGAAGAGAAGAAAATTATATATCTTTCATAGATTATGAGTAGAGATATTCTTAATCAAACAAGTGAGACAGAGATAATTACAACAGATAATAAGAATAAAAAAATTGATTGCATGAAATTTTAAAACTTCTGTACAAACAAAAGTGATGCATACAACCTAAGAAGGGTAGCAGTCAAATTGGAAGGGAAATCTGTATCTAAATTCTCACATAAAGCTTTATAGACAATTAACAGACATACATAAGAATAAAAGTCATTCCTCAGTAGATAAATGGTCAAAAGGATGTGAATGAACAGTTTTCAAAGGAAGAATTATAATCTATTAACAACTTTATGAAATTCTCCCAAAAAAATACAAATCAAAACAAATAAGGCTTTACCTCAAACTCTGCTTTTTAAGGCTCCAAAAGGTAAATATTTAAAGTTTTTTTTTCAAATGTACAAGTTACCAAACCTCCCCACATGATCACCAACCAAAAATGTAAAACGACACAAAAAAGGGTGGGGGGGAATCAAAGAGACAGATGATTCCTATATTCCTCTAAGCCCCCACCCTTGTAATTTATCCATTCTGTGACTTTCTGGACAGGTGGATGAATGGAAAGTCAGATTACAACATGTCTGTTACTTCTCAAAAACTGCAGAATGTAAACCAATTAACAACATTTAGTAATGCCAGCATTCCCAGAATAATTTCAAGTGCTTACTTGACAAGGTACATTAAAACATGCAATTTGTTCCCACCACACCTGTTTAATCCTTGTTCTATCAAATGTATTTTTTTCCTCCCAAGATCCTGGCACCTTAATTTCATAGCAGGAAGAAGCAGAGGGGAACCTGAGGCTAAGAATAGTAAAGGTCACATAGCAAGTAAGTGGCAGAGCTACTATAGGGTTTGATGTAAGTCCCTCTGACTCCATATCCACAGCTCTCCCTGGACCCCAGATTCAAGAGGAAATCCAAACCTTTAAACAATTGAGTGAAATGGCTTCCAAACCTCATTTCAACTCCAAGAATCTATCAAACTATGAGTCTTTGAAATCAGTAAGAATTCATTTCTTCTTTCAGTATCCCTTTGTTGAGAGAATTATTCTGAAGAGTGTGATTTCTAGAGAGAAGTTTTGAATGCCTAAATCCTACTCACATTTTTCAACATATTCAAGTAATAATAAGTAAGTCAGTATTCAACCAAATGATCTCATTGGAGGACGTTGCTGAAGACCGGATCTTCACCACAAAGACAGAGTGGTCATTTATTGTTTTTCAGGGCATTGTTATATAATTTGTCATGGATAGATAGATGATAGATAGATAGATAGATAGATAGATAGATAGATAGATAGATAGATAGATAGATAGAAAGAAAGAAATGGAAAGAAAAGAGAGAGATAAATAGAAAGGGAAAGAGAAAGGGAGAGACAGGTAGATGATAGACAGGGAGAGAGAGGGAAAGGGAGGAGGGAGAGAAACAAAAAGAGGTAGAGACAGAGGAGAGGAGGGGAGGAGGGGGTAGGTAAGTAGGTGGGTATGTAGGTAGGTAGGCAGGTACAGAGGTGGTAAATATAGACAGACAGGTCAGACAAGCAGACAGGAAGAGACAGACAGACACATAGGTAGTCACACAGACACAGGCAGGCAGGTAAGCTGCAGAGAGCCAGATTAATCTTTTTTTAATGTTTTCCAGCTGGTCCGATTCAACTGCAGATGCAGAGTCCCAGCTCAGATACAACATTGCCCCTTATTTCCTCCCAGTTGATTTGTGTGCCTTTGTGACTGCCTCCGGGATACTATGTTTTATTCGCGTGAGAACTTACAAGTTAGTGTATTTTCTGTTTTCTTGTGAGCTGAGCCTATGTAACACCAACATGTACTATTCAAAAATAAACAATTCAGTGCACCTTTTTACCTAAACCAAACAACTCTAACCAACTGCTTTGAGAGGCTCTCTTTGGATGAAATGGTCAGGCATTTGGGATCAAGGACTGATTCACTTTTGTCCTTTTGACCCTAGAATCTGATGTAGAGTAGGTGCTTAATAATTGTTTGTTTATTGATCGCTGATTGATTAGTGCCAAAAACCCAGCTCTCACATACTGGCTTGCCCTCTATTCTCTAGCTCCTGCTAAGAAACCCTTCCCACACACCCAGATATTTTTGTTGTTTAAAGGCCACACAAGTACACTTCATGATTTTGATGAATATTGATCCAAGCAGCCTGGCTGGGCTTGCTTGTCTGGAATTATCTCCTTGAAACTATTTGTTTTGGGTGCCGTTGTGACTTTACTTACTGAACATGACAAATTCCAGTTTATCTTGGCCCTGTTTCATATCTACAGACTTGGTTTATTTTTTCCCCCTTTGGAAGGATGCCAAAATTTGCCTCTAGTCTTTGAAAGAAGAAAAATGGTAGTGAAACTATCTTTACTGTCTTTTTGACTTCTGTTTGTGCTCAAGAATAAATCTGAATCCTCTGGCAGTTTCCATAAAGAAAGATAACCAGATTAATTGTGTTTCCTGACTGCAAAAATAGGAGTTATTCAAAATCAACGTGACATTATTTTTTCTCTTCTATTTTTTGATGGGGAGAGGGGGCTAGAACTGTGATTTCATCCAAATGAGAAAACATTGGATTAGAAACTGAACACGATAGGCAAACTTCTATAATTTTTATCCTTAAATACACTGTGTCTTTAGATATCACTTAGAGGTTAAGTGACTTGTCCCAGGTCACACGGCCAGCATGTGTCATAAGCTAGACTTGAATCCAGGTTTTCCTGACTCCAAAGCCAACCCTTGTCACTACACCATGGTGCCTTCCAATTAAAAAATGAAATACTTTTTTAAGGCAACTATCTAAAAAGGGGGAAGAAATTTCCAGACTAAGAATCAGGCTGTTGGGGCTGAAATGGAACCTATAGATAATGGGATCTAATCTCTTTATTTTAAAAATAAAGAGAGTGATTCCCAGAGAAGATAGCTAATTGGTATACCATCACATGATGAGTTAAGAACAAAGCTGGTTCTACATACCAGGTCTCATCACTCTCCTTAGCACAGTGTCTGGCACATAACAGGTAGTATGGCAACACTTACTCCCTTCCTCCTTTCCTTCCTAATGTTCTTTCCGCTATCCTAAGCTGCCAGGTACTCACGTGGTACAGTACATTAAGCTTCTAATTTGATCTTCAAAGATTATACAGAATGTTGAAATGTCAACGATTCCTCTCCTTTTTCATTTCCTCTGTCTGTTGTTCTCTTGGTCTTCATAAAAAATACAGAAATATGAGCAAAAAGAGAAAAGATATCAAAATTAGTTATTTGCCATAAATATGGAGATAAGTGCAAATAGTAAATCTTGTGAGTACAAGTCACAAATAGATATTACAGTGATAGGCACCATAGAAACAGATGACAGACACCCAGATTGAGAGATAGCACATTCACCCACTATTACATTTTCAATACATAGCACTTAACATCTCAAAGTCTTTTGTGCACACAAGCAAGAGACCCCACTACTTAAGGCCATATCTGAATTCTGAGCAGTCAGAGCAAATATTTCAACGTCTGGGAAAATGCAACATGGCAAATATAATCCTACAAATATGCAAAATACTTTCAATTCTTTAGAATAAAATATTTCTTATGTGCAAAAAAGATTATTTCTATGCTTTCCTTCTATTATATATTCTCAGTGATTATTAATTTATGGCCACTGCTGAACATCCTTGGAGTACAAGAGATGATACTGAACTCCGAGCCACAGGGATGTACCTCATTTCAAGCAATAGATACAAGTCTGAAAAAAAAAAATACAGCCAAATCAAATCATATTTCAAATGCTCTGGGGGCTTTCTGTTGCCCAGGCTGATGTGATCCCCTAGCACCTGTGGATTTGAAACAGCACGATGGAATCCAAAAATGTCAAAATGGGGGACGTGAGGATCCATTGTCTGAAATTTTACAAGGGATCAGACGTTTATCGTTGTTTTTTAGTGAAGTCAAGCAAGGTCTAGTGGATTAAGTGTTCGACACAGTCAGAAAGACCTAGGCTAAACCTCCATCACTCGCAGCTGAATAACCCAGGGCAGGTCCTTAATCTGTCTGATTCATTCCCTTCACCTGTAAAATGAGGCAAAGAAACTTACATGACCTGCTTCATAGATGAGGAAAACACCATTAGATAACAATATGTTTTCTTATTGAATATTCACCATCTCCAAGCTACATCGGATGTAAAACATTCAAAATACAGAAGAAATAAAAACCTAGGAGGAAGAGGAAAAAGCATATATTGTCCTTGTCACCCTTTCTGCCACCAGAGTAATTCTGAAGATACTTTCAATAAGGCACCTAGATGACTCAGTGGGTAGAATACCTTGAATCAGGAAGACATGATTTCAAACCTAGCCTCTGATACTTACCAGCTGTGTGACCCTGAGTAAGTCACTTAAATCTTTGTTGTGCCTCTGTTTTCTCATCTATAGAATGTGATTAATAATAGCACCTATCTCCCAGAGCTGTGGTGAGGATAAAATGAAATCATATTTGTAAAGTGCTACATAAATGCTACTTATTATTATTCGCCATAAGTCGACAGAAGCTGAATTTATATCCCATTATATTTATTCAATTATAAAAGGGAGTGATTGTATTCACCTGTGCAATCATCTATAGAATATTAAACATGAAGGAATTAGAGCAGAATAATGACCTATCTCAAGACCTTTCTAGCTGAACTCCGCTGAACTAAGATGAGAGAAAATAATTAGAATGATAATAATTATTATTATTGCAAAAAATCTATATAGCACTTTAAGTCTTCAAAATACTTTAAATAAACAGTTTCTCAGTTGATCTTTATAATAATCCAATCAGACATAATGAATGTGAAGGGCTTTTTTTAATTTCAATGTTTTCTAAAGAAACATAGAGGCAGTATGGCATTTTGGAAGTTAGGAAATACTCCATTCAGCTTATAAACAGTTTAGCAATGCTCCCAAGGCACAAATAACACTTAGGCGTGATAAGAACTTTCCACAGTAAAGCAATTTACAGAATTGGGGTGTATGCATTGGAAAGAACCTCAGTGGCTGTCAAGACTTCCCCCATGCAATCCCTTACAAATATTTATCCAGTCTTTGCTTAAAATTTGGGTGATTTTATTATTATTATTTATATATTTATTGCATATTTATATATTCATCATTATTCTTGTTTATAGACAATATTTAGGGCAGCTAAATAGCAGAGAAGCTAGAGTGCCAGGCCTGGGGTCAGGAAAACTCCTCTTCATGAGTTCAAATCTTCAGACACTTTTACTAGCTATGAGACCCTGAGCAAGTTACTTAACCCTATTTGCTCAAGTTTCCTCATTTGTAAAATGAGCTGGAAAAGGAAATACCAAACCACTCCAGTACCTTTGCCAAGAAAACCCCAAATGGAGTCACAGTGACTTAGATGCAACAGAAAAACAACTGAACAACAAAATAGATACTATTTAGATAGTACTGTAAAGTTTGCAAAGCGATTTACCTGCCTTATTTGCTACAACAACCTTGTAAAAGTAGATACTATAACTATCCCTATTTCACAGATGAGGAAACTGAGGCTACAAGCATTTAAATGAATTTATTCCAGGGCACCCATCTAGTAAGATCTGAGGTAGGAGCCAATCTCAGGTCTTCTCCACTCCAGGTCCAGCACTTTATCCAGTCACTGCCCATCACTACCTCCCAAAACAACTAGTTTGTGACAGCTGTTAGTGTTGAGATTTTCTTTCTACTTACATCGAGCTTAACGTTCTCTCTCTTCAACTTCTATCTATTATCCTGAGTTTTGTCATCTGGGACCTTGCTGAAATGATCCATTCAGAAGGTCATTCTCTAACAGTGTATTAGGGACAGCGTCCCAGTGAAGAAGGTTCAGAGACTGACTAAAGCAGGATCTGACACTTCCTAACAGGGAGGATTCATTTGAGAATCCAAAGGTTGGAGGCACCCTCATGGAAATTAAACAGCACCTCAAAACACTGAGACCTCAAAACACTGCAAATACCAACAGGAGAAAGGGGAGGGGACATCAGAAAACCAGAAAAGATGAAACTTTGAGAGAAAAGATTTTAATAGACTTAGGGAAATGGTAGTTTGAAAATCTCCATGAAATGGACCTATTTGGACCACACCACCTCCTTTTGTTGTATACTCCCCACAGGTCCATGTACAGAACATTCAATAATCCTTCAGTGTAGAGTATATCTTAAATGAAGCCCAAAGATCATAGAATCTATATTGAGAGCTAGAACAGATGGTAGACACCAACAAGTCCAACCTTCTCATTTTAGAAAAGAGGAAACTAAGGCACAAAGTCATAACTAGTGAGTGTCTGAGGCAGGATTTTAAGCCAAGTCATCCTAACTTCAAGTCCAGGGACTTAACCAATATGTCCAGACAATTCAAAGGATGGTAAGAGAGCCCTTGGTGGGCTTAACAAGTTCACATCAGGGAGCAGCTAGGTGGCATAGCCCTGGATTCAGGAGGACCTGAGTTCAAATCCAGTCTCAGACACATAACACTTACTAGCTGTGTGGCTCTAGGCAAGTCACTTAACCCCAATTGCTTTGCAAAAAAGAAGAAGAAGAAGAAGAAGAAGAAGAAGAAGAAGAAGAAGAAGAAAGAAGAAGAAGAAGAAGAAGAAGAAGAAGAAGAAGAAGAATTTCATATCAATAAGCCCAAATGAACTACAACTCGAAGTACTGACAGATATTGCTGTGCTCAAGTCCTATTGATAATCTTTTGGGAATCATGATGAAAGATAATGCTAAGTGTGGGACACAGACAAAGGGTGTACTCGTTTTCAAAAAGAAGAAAATGGATATTTCAAACTAGAGGTCAGTAAGTCAGTTCAATGAGGATTCCTACTAAAATTCCATAACAAAATGTTAAAGGGACAATTTAAGGACACTAAGAAAAAAGGGGATTGACCAATAGCTAGCATAAACTAAATAAGAAATCCAGCCAGAAGAGATTCATTTCCCATTTGGATAGGATAAGTGAAACACTATATGTCACTATATATCACATTGTTGGATTTCAGGGAAGTATGAGGAGAAGAGTTCTCAGAATGTCTTGTGGGCCATATGGAGAGGTATGAAATAAATAGTACATTTAGGTGGATTTGATACTGTCTGACCAAGTAGACACAATATAATCAATGGATCTAAGTTTAGAAATATTTCATCATCCAAGTAAGATACAGCCTCCTATAAAGCACTTCATTTAAAGTGTTATTAAAATGCATTTATGTTCCAGGGAATGCTACATTTATTTCTAATTTGTATATGATTTAAATTTTGAAGGTTTCCAGGAGATTGGTGGAAGACATTGTCCTTTATTCTCTTCAAGATTTTTATCAAAAATTTGATGAAGGAATAAATGATTTGCTTTTCAAAGTTAGCAGATAAAAATTGGGATAATAATATAAATTTATATATAATATGTAATATAAATACAATATAATAATATACACAATACATTAATATAATATTATACATATAATACTTAAAGACAATTTAACTAGACATAACTAGAACAAAACAGCCTGGAACTGTGGGTTAAAATTGACAAAATAAAATTCAACAGGAACAAAGTTCTATGTTTGGGTTCAAAAAATCCATCACAAAAATTATAGGGAGAAATATAGCTAGATAGCAGTAAATGTGCAAAAGATCTGAGGAGTTAGTGGCTTACAAAGTCAATGAGTCAGCAGTGTAACATGACAGAAAAACTAATTTGAATTTCTATTGCATTCACAGAAGTACAGTGCCTTTGGTAATGGGGGTGATAATCTCACTCTACTGTGCCCTTGTCTTACCAATTTGTAGTAATTTGTCCAGCTCTAAGAAGTACATTTTAGAAAGGACATTAACGACCTAGAGTGCATGTAGAAGAGGGATACTAGTATAGTGAGGGAAATCAAAACTGTGACATATGAGGATTAGCTGGAAGAATTAGGAGGCTTTACAAGGAAGGAAGGAAGGAAGGAAGGAAGGAAGGAAGAAAGGAAGGAAGAGAGAGGAGGGAAGGAGAGATGAAGGAGGGAAGGAATGAAGGGAAAGAGAGAGGAGGAAAGGACATATGAAGGAAGGAAACAAGGAAGAAAGGAAGGAAGGAAAGAATACGGATAATATACAGATTATTTTATGTACGGCTGAGATTATGGCTCACTTGGCTCTAAAGTCTTTTATTTAAAAAAAAAGGAAATCAGAACTGTTGGTATTTTGAAATTAGAAAATAAGGCATGTATCAATGAAGAGTTTTGTCACAATTGGGTTAGGGCAAAATCTTATTTTTGGACTTTCTTTTTTTAAATCCCTTTTCAGAGGAAATGGAGCCAAGATGGTGGAGTAAAGGTAGAAACTCACCTGAACTTTCCCAAATTCCCCTCCAAACAACTTCAAAATAATGCTTCAAATTAAATTTTCACATGAAAAAGTTGTGAAAGAGCCTTTGCAGTGGAGGAGAAAAGCGGCTGGGAGAGGGGGGTAGGGGCAGGGATGGACAAGACTTGAACCTTACTCTCATTGGAATTGGCTCAAAGAGGGAATAATGTACATACTCAGCTGTGTATAGAAACCTATCTTACTCTACTAGGAAGTAGGAGGGGGAAGGGATAAAAGGAGGGCACTGATAGAAGGGAGGGAGGATTAGGGAAGATGTTGGTCAGAAGCAAAACACTTTTGAGGATAGGCAGGGTGAAAGGAAAGAGAGAGAAGGATAAACTGGAAGAAAACAGGATGGAGGCAAACACACAGTATTTATAACTATGAAAAAAAATTTACAGCAAGTTTCTCTGATAAAGGCCTCGTTTCTCAAATGCATAGAGAACAGGATCATATTTATAAGAATATAGGTAATTCCCCAATTAATAAATAGTCAAAGGATATGAAGAAGCGATTTTCACTTGAAGAGCTACCTATAATAGTGGGGGGAAATGTTCTAAATTACTATTTATTAGAGAAATGCAAATTAAAACAACTCTGAGATACCACCTCACACTTATCAGATTGGATAATATGACAGAAAAAGGTAAATGACAAGTTTTGGAGAGGATGTTTGGAAATTGGGACACTAATGCAGTTTTGGTGGAGTTATAGACTGATCCAACCATACTATAGAGCAATTTGGAATTATGCCCAAAGGGCTAAAAAACCATACATGCCCTTTGACCCAGGAATACC